AGCACTGAATCATATAAACATTCTGTTAATTATACATTAGAATATTAAGTAGATTCCTTATATAAATACGTATAGAATACTTTTAATAGGCATTTAAATATTGACATTCTTCATGGGCTACAAGAGCTGAGTGTCTTATTGACATGACAGAGTAGGATATAACTGTGCCTAGTTTTTAAATTAATAGTTTATGTGTGCTCGAATCATTTTTCGTCCTGTGAAATATTCCCACATTCTCTCCCACACGGTAATTAGTTACACCTTTATTAATAGTATATAATTAAAATAGACATGCTATAAATAAGGAAACTTTCTTCTTACTGGCTTAGATTTCAGAGCTATATTTACTTTTTACTTTTACTCTAAGTTTTTATTTACACCTGAGGTATTAATAGAATAAAGTAATAATGTTTTTAGTGTTTGGTTTATAAAATGCCTCTCCGATGAGAAATAATAACATGTTTTGTATGGTCGCAGTCTCCTGTAGTTTAATAGAAGTTTTTTATCTTTATATTGCAACTTGGTCATATTAGCAGGAATACCTTGAGGAACGCACCTTGTCCGGAGAACATAGTATCCAGGATTATTTACAGTGTCGGACTGTGGACTTGGTACATTTCCAGACGCTTTGCTGGCATCGTAGTCGACAGCTCCAGTGAGTCTTGTCATTCTCAGCAACCAAGCTACAACTCGTCGACGACGCAATTGATGTTAATCCATTGAGCAATTTCTGTCGAGACAGTTATGCTATCACTCATCGTTCTGTTCTCCCTGGTCCATCTATTCTTCAATATTAGATGTATTTACCCTATTTTGTCTAAGTTGATTATAGACTGGTAGTAGAATTTTTCGACAATGATATGAGTGGTTAGCGTGTCAAGCTGCCATCTTGCACTTTCGCAGTTCGACTTCCGCTGAGGGTGTTGATAAGACCGATTCGAGGTCGAAACTGCAATCCACTGGTGCCTGCATGAGAACAACTTTTGGCAAAACAAGGCTATGTGAAATTCAATGGAAACCTCAGCTCAACTCATATCATTGTCGAAAAATTCTACTACCAGTCCATCATCAACTTAGACGAAATAGGGTAAATACATCTCATATTGAAGAATAGATGGACCAGGGAGAACAGAACGATGAGTGATAGCATAACTGTCTCGACAGAAATTGCTCAATGGATTAACATCAATTGCGTCGTCGACGAGTTGTAGCTTGGTTGCTGAGAATGACAAGACTCACTGAAGCTGTCGACTACGATGCCAGCAAAGCGTCTGGAAATGTACCAAGTCCACGGACCGACACTGTAAATAATCCTGGATACTATGTTCTCCGGACAAGGTGCGTTCCTCAAGGTCTTCCTGCTAATATGACCAAGTTGCAAAATAAAGATAAAAAACTTCTATAAAAGGACAGGAGACTGCGACCATACAAAACATGTTTTTATTCCTCATCGGAGAGGCATTTTATAAAGAAGGCATTTTATAAGAAGGCAAAGTTAGAGATAACGTTGCCCATTGCATAATCAAAGTCGGATAAAACAAGGATGCAACAAGACGAGCAAAAATAAGACGCCTGGATCAAGGATCTATCGTAAACCAGAAGCAAAAGAATCGCAAGTAAGTAGAGATTGAGGAAATTTTGGAAATGAAGCAAAGACATTTTTAATGACAGTAGTCAGCTCGAATAAGCAATTACAACTTGAAAGTCAGACATTTCACGTAACTAGGGAGGGAGATTGGGTCATAGGAATCGGAATTCGGGACCAAATAAACAAATAATCTACTTGAGATGCAGCAAGGAACCAGAAATAGATGACCACAGTTTGCTCAGGATGCAAGGGCTTAATCGAGGTGATGATGTATGAAAGCAATGCCTAATAACCGCAGGCACAGAAATTAGAATTATGTATTGTTTTCGAGGCTACCAGTAAATCAATAATATGAGATGTATTTACCCAATTTTTTTTAAGGTGATGAAAGACTGGTAGAAGAAGAATTTTCCTACAATGGTATGAAACGAGCTAGCGTTTTCATTGAATTTTACATAGCCTTGCTTTCCCAAAAGTTTTTCTCATC